CCCCAAAACCCCAAAACCCCAAAACCCCAAAACCCCTTTTCAATAAGATAATTTTGAAAGTTTTAATGATTCATCCAAGCCTTTAGTCAATGAATATAGAGCTTAGGAGCTACATTAGGATGTAAGTTCATCTAATAGGGATAAGGGCATGATATATTATCTCCTCTTCACACCTCCTATACACTGTTCCTACATCCCTCTGCACCTCACATAGCCCAAAATCTTAGCTGAAGATTTCCATAAATTCTTTCACGATCAGCACCAATTTAATCTTAAGTAAGCTTAACACATAGCTTCTGGTATAAAGAAGGCCTGTTAATTCTTTGGTCATTACCTAGATTGGAGGTCCAAAATGGAGTTTAATGAATGAATTAGAGGGAAATCTTGTATTTAGAGAAAATAGCGAAGGAAATAGAAGAATTTTTGTGGTCATAGGTTTTTTCGCGAGAATTTTGAAGTGAGTTAAGAAGGATTTTTGATGGATGCTTTTAAGGGGATTTAGGAGGAGAAATGGGCTTACTTATAATCTTCTTTAGTACAGAGTTTAGCTTAGCCAAATCTGTTTTGAATATCATATCCTCTACCGCTTTGTCAAGACTTGCTTTCTTACTATAGGAATCAAGGAGAAATTACCTAACTGGAGCTGATGCATGAGAAACTTCTGTCTGGGTTTTATTTATCTCAGCCATTCTACTAATGAGCTGTATTCTTACTTATAAATACTTCTCTCTGAATTATCTAATTCTATCATTCTCTAAAGAAGTGTATTACAAACTTAGCAATTACTGTTTTAAAAGGTGCCTTCATCAGCTTTGGTAGTCTAAGCTCGCTAAGGTCATCTATCAGCCCAGCTTCCACCAAACTATTGGCTGCAAAGGTGTTCTCTAGCAATTGTGTATGGTAGCTGTTCCTCTTCTTCTGCCGATTTGCTTGCTCATCCGTCACCAAAGCGTTGTCGGATGATATCTAAAATTATGCCAAATGTTGCCCATTAATATCCCAAATTTTTAAACTACCTGGAACTTACATTGATATTATCTTTACATCGACTGGTGAGGTTCAGTCTGCCTCTCTCTAAACAGTAACTCTAAGTAGGTACTTTTCTTCTTTTTCTTCTGTGGCTCCTCTTCATTCCCAAGAAGACTAGAGCTATTAAATTTTCTGATGGAATTAAGAACTTTCATTGCATCAAAATCTATACTGGATTTAGCCAAATTTTACTAGTTTCTTGACAACTAGAAGACGCTAAACCTTCTCACATGGAGTTTCTGTTCTGAAAAATCTTCCGTTTGAATGCCCTGAAGTTACTATTAGATCTGCGTCAAAAACCTTGCGTAAAGGTATTATCAAAATGTGTCGGACGAGCTAAATTGTGATCTGAAGTAATTACGAGAGGTGAAATTAGAGTAGGAACTACGAGATCCACGAATATCTGTGCCTTTATCTTCATTCTCCAACTCATTAAGATGTAACTTTCCTTCTTTTGCCTCGAAGATAAACGAAGCAGCATGCTTATCTTCTGGGACATGTAGAGCGATTTTCTCTTGTGCTGATATATTCTCTTTCGTCCCACTAAGAGGATTATTTATCCTAACTTTAGGCCTGACTGATCGTCTCTCTGTCGGTTCTAAAGTGCATTATATCTATAGATACCCTTATTTGAACGACCGGCAGGTAGGCAAATGCTTTATAAAGCTCTTGGATAACTGGCTCTCTACCTTAGGATTTACCTGCTTTGTCTTCTTACCAGGGCTGATCTGTTGCATCTGCTTGATTTTGTTTTGTACCTTTAGGTTGTAAGCCCCTATAGCTATAACACCAGAATTACTGATGAGGTTAATCTCTTTCCCTTTGTTAAGCTTCTTTCTTAGCTGATACACCTTCTTGTTGTTATTTAATCCTCTCTTTCAAGCTAAGATAGATGATAAATATCCTTACTTCTCGTGCCAGCGCATTAAGTCCTGGTTTATGCTCTTGCCAGGTACCGCAGCTTGTAAGTTCATCGTATTCAACTTGATTGTGATATTTTGTTTAGGCGTTTTTACGATGTAGCTAAACATGTTTAATTTTGGTTGATAATTACTTATTTTCGTGAGGCATCACTCTTGGTGTTTCAAAATTCCTCGCAAATGACCTCCAAGGTTTCTGAGACATTTAAATTTATTTCTAAATGTAATAATATTTTCAAGATCCTAGTTGAGTTAAGGGGTTTTGGGGTTTTGGGGTTTTGGGGTTTTGGGG